TGTGAAATGTCCTTGCATAACAGTCCATAGTGACACCTCACCTGCTTCTACCGTTTTTTCTGAATGATGCCTGCAGCTGCCTGTCTAGTCCTAGAACAGAACATGCGTCTCTATAACAGTACATGCATTGTCCTTTGTTTACATAGATCATCATGTGTGATCAGTTTCTAGTTTCACTCCATGATAAAGACCATTATTATTTTATTGGAATTGATGGGGTTTGTTGTCACAGAAAAGTCCATAATCCAGACCCATCAAGGTGTCTCAACAGGGACTGCTCAGAGAGACGTGAAGCTTTTGGGACATTCTGCATGTTGGCAGATGAGAGGCAGATGCCAGCTTTGTTATTAACCCCACTTTCGTATCATAGTTATGTGAACACAGAAAAAGACTAATTCTGCTTGACATCTCAGTGCCTTGCACTGGAGAGGATGTACTTTCCTGAAATAATGTCCACCTAGCATATGGTCTGTCAACTACCATATGGACTTTACTAGAGTCCACCTGCTCTCACAAGAAAAGAGCTTGTTTTTTCAAGGTTACTTAATAAATTATATCAGGTTTTTCTGACATACTACTGTGGTCAATGATGTTCAATTAATCATCTTCAAACATATGCACTTTTCTACAGCCTGACATTGATAGATTTAGAAATATGACATTTTCGAGTGCTCCAAGCATATCATCAGGAAGACTCCATTTAACCACTCCACAACACTTGACATTTCCAGGCGTCAGTCACCACAGGCAAGATTCCAACAGACTGTATACAAGTAAGTATTGTTCCAATATTCAAGAAAGTTGATAGAACCACACCTGGCAACTAGACACACTAGCCTGACTTCAAAAATTAGAAAAGTGATGGAGTCAATCAACAGAAATCAAGTGGCAGATTACCTATATAAAAATAATCTAATAAACAACAGTTAACCTTGGGTTCAGAAATGGTAGATTTTGTCTGACCAACCTCAGTCTTTTTTTGAGGAGTGACAGCCTAAATTGATTGTGAGAAGCAATATGATAAGTATATCTGTAGTTCCAAAAGGCATTTGACAAAATACCACATGAAAGACTTCTTTGCAAACTGTGGTTACTGGGTATCAAGGTGAAGACGTGGACATGGATTCAGAATTGGCTGAAGGGAAGGAAGCAGAAGGTCATTGTTTGTGCAGCTAAGTCAAAATGGGGAGGTAGAAGGTGGCACCATTCTTATGTCTTGTGTATATTAACAATCTGGATTTGCCATAACAGTTGTTAAATATTAAAATGACACGAGTCGACAGTAACTATGAAATCAGAGGAGACAACAAAGGTCTTCTAAAGAGTGCTTGGTATGTTACGCACATGGGCTTATGATTGGCAAATTAATACAAGTATATAAAAATAGGAAACACGTATTCCATGAATGGGATAGAACTTTCCAAGGATGACACTCCCAACAATGCTGCACACCCTCTGCATGGGTTCCAAGTCCTGTAGTAGGGCTTGAACCCACAATCCTCTGACTCAGAGATGAGAATGCTACCAATTAAACCCGGCTGAGACACATATTTTCATAAGTGAAACAATACTAATACTTGCATTTGGTATTGCGCCTTATCACGTCTCAAAGCGCTTCACAGAATATACTGTAATGTGAACTGACCATATATTTGTGGGCGAAATGCGTCAGCCAATCACACACAACAATGTCCCCCAAACAGTCATGGTTGATTGCCTAAATTTATTATTTTTTGAAGGAATTTTTACCTCCGGAAAAACGATCCGCCAATTGACTATCAACCAGGTTCCTACAGATTTCTAGGTGAACAGAGGTGTGTGGAGTAAGAAAACTTATCCAACTTTCGCCCTGCTGGGAATCAAATCCAGGTCCTCTCACTTGTGAGGCGAGTGCTTCTAACCACTAAGCTACAGGATTCCATTAAATGTTCAATAGAAGTTGTTGTTGAATAGTGGCTGCCTGAACTAATCCAATCTGGGTGAGACAGTATAACTGCTTGTATCATCACAATATAAAATGCATGGTACAACTGCATTTCAGCCCAAATAATGCGGTTTGACTGTGGCCCACCGTTTGTCTTGTCCACTGCGACACCCACTGCCGACAAACAGCATGTTCCAAAACCAGAATAAAACCACAGACAGTAACCTCCAAATGCATTTACACTCGTATCTCTATACAAAGAAGAGCAGCAGTCAGAGGGTATTTCAGGACATTAACACATGACAGGCCTCTGATGATTTCAAGACTCAAGTAAAATCACTGCATTTCAGAAGTGCGACTGCCTATTAACATACCCTGGCTTTTACATAACCCACTCTGTAAAGCAACCTAACCTGTGTAGTGGTTTTCTAAGCGGTAACCGTGAGCTTATGTCAGGTAACCATTAGTCTAAAGCGGAGAGCAAGTGTGATCAATGATGGAGGTGCCATTTCTTCTATTTGGGGAATTCAGGCTTTAAGTTAAGTACAGCCTTTGGCAGGAAGCTGATATGTGAAAAAAAACAGGATGTGTGTGATAATTGGGTACTACTCTCTCATTTAACTTTTGCATTTGTGTCAATACTGTGTCCTCGTATGGACATCACACAACAGTGTTTGTCAAATGCCCAATGTTACCATATTCAAGTGGGTGCTTGCCATCACTATTATGCAGCCAGCTGTCAGGCTGGGCTAAAGTTATTGGCAGCAACTAAATCCACAACAGGGCACAATGAGGATGTGCCAGGTTAGCACATAAGAACCTTCATATAGTTTACAATGCCTGAAGAGATCCGCAGTCCTGCTCAGAATAGAGCTAAGGCTGTTAATGTTTATAGGTGGAAACAGATGGTGAAAGAAGAACTGCTGTCGTTCACCATTAAATGTTCAACTAAAAGCATAAACAACAGTCTCAGCCTCTGTAAACTTCAAATTGGACTGTGTCATCTGGGCATAATGGCTTGTGTCTTACTAGATCAGTGAGCATGAGTATGTAGTGAATCCCATTGAGTTTGGGACCATTATGAAAGTTTTCATTGTCTAAAGATTTATTTACAAATTAAGGAGGATTACTGGGTAGCATAGTAACCTTGAAAATCCAGTCTTCATCTCTGGGGTATTCCCAGAGCGCTGACCCTCTCTCATCTCCTTACTCATGCGTTTACATTTTTTAACCACACTTTACAGCAAAATCCTGAGATGTGATTCAACATGTCCTCCAGACATGAAAGGCACTACATCAAATGCAAGGATTATCATCAAGTCTGCACTAGTCTTTTTCTGCACTCTAGATACCTGGTCTAATCCCATTTCCCTGCTTCGTTCCATACCATTTAATATTCCTCCTCTTTAATTATCCATAAAATTAACCTTTAAAATAATTAATGGATCACGAAATGACTGTCTCTTCCCGGGAGACATTTTCTCAAATAAGCCGACCCGACACCGCCTTCTTTGACATAAAAAACTTGATTGGATTCCATAGCCTATCCACAAAACACCTTCTGCCTTGTCTGAAAATCAAGGCTCTTAGATTAATTTGCACAACTGATAGGGGTCAATTTCATATTGTTATTGATTATGGTCCAGTGGTGTTATATCTCAGTGGTTATGAAAAAATGCCAAGCTGTAGAGCACACCAAGGCTCCGTTTTGAAAAAATAGCTGATGCTATTGTAACTTTAAACCTGTGAGAGGCACAAAGGAACACAATAATATAATGAGAAAGGTATACCTGGTATACCCCATCAGGTGAAACAGCAACCCGATGTTGCAGGAAAACATGCCGTTCAGACAAAAGCACAAAGGTAGCAAACACCCACATTGGCAATGGGAGGCTCAAAGTTATACTTGTATTTACTCTGAAAGGCTAATTCATTTTTAATTTTAAGATCACACAAAATTGTGGAAAATCCTTTCATTTAGTTTTAATTTGGAAGAACGGCAGAAAATGGTCTTTCGGTTTAAAACCAAATTGATGAATTTTCCATAATTCTGCACAATCTTACATTTTAAGAAAAATATGGTCTTATAGGCCGGCAAGATGGCAAACCCATGTTTCATTGGTTGTTCTAAATTATTCAGACACCCGTATCTCCTTCTTTACATATGACTGAACATGGGTTAAACAATGTGTATAATAGCCTGCTCTGTGCATCATTTCCCAATCGTTAGCACTGAGAGTTTATTCACAATTCAGTCTAATGTGAGAGTTTCCCCTTCCCACCTACCTTATACTTATTTCAATGGATTGATTCAATAAAACAGGTAAGATACCCAACTATGCACAATGCACTAGGCTTACACACAGTAACCTAAATGTGTCAATCGCAGTCACTGCATCAAATGCAGTCACTGTATTAAATCTGATGTGACTAGTTAATGGAAAAGAGATGACACTATCCTAAACAGCCTCTATATGTGAGATTTCCAAAAAGTTATAGCAGAGTTGCTTTGTAATGGTCCTTTGGGCATTCACTGCAATCTATGTTAGACGTCTCCTGATATTTAGCTCAAAACACTAAGATTTTATCCAGAGACTGAGCTGAAAGCTTGCAGTTGTGAATCCTGTTCCCAGTAAAAATCAGAAAAGACTTTGCCTACTCAGAGAGTGCCATTATGTTAGCAAAAAAGATTGCTTGCAGATGTTCCTGATATTGTGATCTCGGTTTTGCAAGTTTTTAAAATCTTTTGCTAAATTAGAATTTCCATTTGTACCTCTTTTATTCATTTAAAATTGTCCTAAATATTTAAGAGAAACAAAGGAATAACATGGCCTAAAACTAGAACAGTTTTTACTTTTTTAAAAAAAATGGACAGGCAACATAAACAAGCAGGATTCAAATACATTCAGGGAAAGGGCCAAAAGAAAAAACAGACCTTCTCAACACTTAAAAATGAGGGTTTGGGCTTACTGATTCAAATTAACATCTTGCCTTCAGTTTACATAATGTAGTTCTGGTGTTATTGCATTATGGTGCCCTTGTGCACACATGACCTTTACCCAAATTAAAGACTTACTCCTCTGCATGGATGGAATCAACTGGAGCTACGTAATTGCTGGGAATATATCCTGTTCCTCCTGATTGCAAAGATCGAGCTTCCCACCAGTCTCCCTCTCTGCAAAGAGAGAAGTACGTTAGCTAAGAAAGCAGCAAAACAGAAACATGACAGATTCCACACAGTGATTCATTAATTGCAACAGTGGAGTTTAATAACTTATTAAATAGATTTTATGAATTACATAAACATGATAGGTTCTACACTGACGCATGAAACCCAGAATTATCACCGTAATTTGTAGCTGTTTTAAATTATCCAACGATCCTCTTAAACTTTTCTGGTCAAGATATTTGAAGGTTTACCGCCTATTTCAAGAATGCTATATTCACAACCTTAATGATAAAGAAAGCCTTTTCTCAACAACACCTCGAAGTCTCATGTACAGCTGGAAATAAGTGAGGAAATCAACCCAAATTAGTATTAAAATGCAAGTTGTGTTTGTGGTAGGTGTTAAGTGTCACACCCAATTTTGTAACAATGATGAGGTTATGTCCTCATTGACACTTGAAGATTGTTTGCATAGCTGGCAATTGTTAACATGTTTTCATACTCGGTAATAATAGCATAAATCCCATTCTCTCCCCAAAAGTTTACCAATAGTACAGACAGAATTCTGTCATGTAGTGAATACTGACCAATGTCTGGTCTCATGTGGTTTTAAGAGCAGCTGCTGAACAAATGAGTAGCTTTTTTTAAAAAGCTTTTTTTTAAAAAAAGTGATGCTTTTCGTGCATTAGGAAAAGTAAATCTAATTTCTATGCAGCAAAGAGCATCACTGAAAGAGATCAAGTAATAAAAAATAGACCAGATGGACTGCAATGATCTTTCCTGTGTTCCTAAATGAAGAATTCAAAAGAGCAGAGGCCTTCTCAGTAAATGTTCTGGGCTACCACCCAGATAATATTTCATACAGCAGCACTGAGAGGTATGGAGTAATACAAAAGCTACCTAATTTTCCAAGCACTATTAAGCATCGATTTGATGTCTTCAGCATAAACAAAACCCATGGATATTGAAATCAGCAAAAGAAACATTTTTATTCCTCTTGCTTCCTCCCCCACCCCTATGCCATGTTTGCAATCTCTCATTGCTCCATAATACATTCTATGAAACATTCATTCCACTTTGGTGAGCCAATATTTTTATGATGTGTTTATTACACATTTTTCACTGTTTCTAAGATGCACAATCCACAGTTGAATAGCTGTGGATAGGTTTTAGAAAATACTTTTAGAAACAGTTTTTTAAAACAATTTTTTTTAGTAAAGTGTTTGGACACAGTAGAATGTGTTTTAAGGTGCATTTTTCACTTGCTGGTTTTGTGAACATTCCCACTATATTTAATTGTATTTTATCACTGTCGCCTTCCTACATAGGAGGATAAGTTAGACTTTCTCAATATACAGATTACAAATATTTAGGGAATACTTCACTATGGTGTAGATTTATTCTATTTATGAAGCATTTCAGAATGTCCAGAACTTGGCAAATTGATGAATTTGGTGTTAACTTCAGTCATTTTCCTGCAGGTCTTAAAACAAATGAACGAAAGATGGCTTCAAAATCAAGGCTGTATTTAACAAATCACAGATGCTCTGAAATCCACATCAATAGAGCAAATCTACACTCCAGTGGGGGTTTTCATCCTGAAAGATTCTCCAAGTGGGGATGTAAGGTCTAGCAAACCCAGCTGTTTAGTGCACATAAAGATTTCCTGTCTATTTGTACTAAGATGAAAAATAAAAATGACAGATCAGCAGCCAAACTTTTTTTTGTTTCACAAACTGGAATATGATTTTAAAGTATATATTCATCAATTAACACAACACTTGTTCATTTGTGTGTGCTAATTCTCAAACCACCGATCAGCCTGGCTCAGTTGATAGTCCTCTCACCTCTGAGTTAGAAGGTTATGTGATCGGGCCTCACTCCAAATGGAAGAATTATTAACTAATTTACATTGGAATATACAGCACAGAAACAGGCCATTCAGCCCAACTGGTCTATGCCGGTCTTTATGCTCCACATGAGCCTCCTCCTGCCCTTCCTCAACTAAGCCTTCAAGCATAAACTTCTATTCCTTTCTCCCTCATGTACCTATCTAGCTTCCCCTTAAACACATCTATGCTATTTGCCTCAACATCTCCTTATGGTAGCATGTTCCACATTCCCACTACTCTCTGTGTGAAGAAATTTCTTCTAACTTCTCTATTTGATCTATTTGTGACTATTTTATATTGATGGCCCCTGGTTTAGGTCTCCCCTCAAGTGGAAACATCTTCCCTATGTCTACCCTATCAAAACCTTTCATAATTTTAAAGACCTCTATCAGCCAGATATTCACCTACCTTGTTTTGAAAGTTATTAATGAACACCATTTTATCTGGGTGTCTGTTGCACATTTCCATGAATCTCTTGGAAAAATTCGTAAATTCAACCATTGCCATAGGCTTATTATTCTTATGCTGATTCTTCTAGCTCTACGCTTATAGTCCATGTTAAATAATCTGATCAGAAGCTATATTTCCAATCCTCTCAGCAATTTAAAGACACAAATCATGTCTCCTCTCAATCTTCTTTTCTTTTATGGAAAGATGCATGGTATTGGGGTTAAGGCAGGGCAGCAGGATTGAATGAACTGATGTAGACTCGATGGGCTGAATGGCCTCCTTCTGTGCTGTAAATGTTTGTGTTTCTAAATATATTCAGCTCTGCAATACTCTCTTCAGCACACAACATTCAGAACATTTCTATGCAATAAGATTTTTACTTCAACTTGTGAGCCTTATTCATTGCTCACTTGTACCCAGCTCCTCACTCATGAGAATAAGATGTATTTAGTGTAGTCCCATTGAGTATAGTTTGTTTTTCTGAGGCTACCATGGTTTTTGACAAAATTTATAGTGAACATTAGATCATGTTCCTTTTGTTCTTCTTGGTCTCTTCAGTGCTGGATGCAAATCATGTTGCTCAGATTGAGTGAATAAAACCAGCTGACATTCTTGGGTTTTAAGTAAAACTTTGAAGATGTGTGAAATCAATTGAATATTTATGTACTATTAAAAACAGACAAGCTGACGTACACCAACACTGATTTACAAAATGTGTATAGCAAGAGCTGAGACCAGTCATGTAATAGAAATTTCGAATGTTGACTTGTTTTTATTTCTTGTCCTTTCACATATTATGGGGGTAAATTGGACAAATTCTTTGTGCAGATACTTGCCTACAAATTAGCAGTTACTACATTTGACAGCAATTAACGTGTAATAGCTTTGAGTTATTTTAATGCTCTAAGTGCTAAATCAAAAGCAAGTATTATCATTATGTAATTTTTAGAAGATGTTGGTCTTCACCTCTTATTATCTGAGAGGTAACTATTCCCTTCAACAGTAACTGATGTGTCCAACTATGGGCTTGTGTAGTTTACCCTCCATTTGCTTCTAGGTGATTCATGTTTACACAGAATTTTAAATAGGCCATTTCTTGGCATTAAAATGTGGAAAACTGCAAGAAATCCTTTTTACAGCCAACACCGACAACCAGCACCTCTCCCATTTCTCTGAATTCTGATAATTGTAAAGATAAGAGACAGAGACTTGACAGACTGTTAGCCCTGCGAGCAGCTGGAATGCTGATTATCCATAAGCCTGGCTAACAACTTCATAAAAGTCAAGCCTATGTGACTTTTATGAGGTTTCGGACTTGACTGTGGACTGTGGATAATTCCCGCAGAATGGTGATGCTGATACCGACATTTTCTAAATCAACTTGCACATGCACTGGAAAAATAGGTGATTCTTTTCAGCTTTTTTTTTAAAAAACAAAAATGGGATTTGAAATATTTTAAATAGAAAAGTTTGGGGTCAAAAGTATTTCAAATAGGTAATCCTATATTTCTTTAGAAGGTTAATTGAAGAAATTCTGTGGTTGCAACAGAAAACATCAATGCATTGAAGAGGAAACTACATGAAAGTGAAGGACTAGAGGAATATGCAGGGAGGCTAGGTAGAGGGGATTAGGAGTAAGGGAGACTCATGTGGAGGATGAACAACGGGACAGACTGGTTGGGCTGAATGCTGTACATTCTGTGTAATATTATGCAAGTGAATCCAGAGGAAACGATAGCTCATTAGATATTAGGCTGCGCTCACAATAAGGTGGAGCTCAGCAGCCAACAATCACAAAACTGCGGTGAAATATCCTGCGGCATTTCCTGTAAACAAAACGACTTGAGACAAACAAAATACACATTATTCTTATTCAAAGCAAAGGAGAAAATAATGGCAAAATTCATTGTATTTTAATGCTTGTGGTTTACTGATTGAAAGGAACAAGATGCCATCATCTGGTCCTCTACCTGGTATAGGCACACAAAGTCTATTCAGCTGTTCGGAAAGGTTAACAAGATTTTTTAAAAAATAAATAAATGTGGTACATAATAAACCCAAATCCTCCTATAATAGAGATAGTGTTGCTTTAACCGTCTCATTTTAAACGTAATTAGTAATTAGTCAAAACACCATCTTTGAAAGTAGGGCATTCAATGAAGGCTTTGACTTGCTCATGCATCACTGAATGGAAATGAAGCAGCTTTACACCAGCTCTCAGCAGTTCATCATCAGAGGAACATTTATAGGCATCACCCTGGAGCCCTTTCACCGCTAGTTAAAATATAAAAAAAACTTGAACTGGAGACTTAGCAATATCTAGCCTTACTTACGTGTTGTTAAGGATCTGAAACTTTTCCCCTTTTCTAAAACTAAGATCGTCGTCTGTTCTGGCATCGTAGTCGTACAGTGCCACAAAAAGGGTTACTCCTACTGCAAACACAAAGCAGAGAGATGTCTGTCAGCATTTCTTTGAGGAAAAGAATAGTTTAAGATGATTATCTTCCTTAGAATCTATTTACCCCGGATAGCTAACAATAGCAATTTATTCTGCTATTTTTCAATAATATTTTATTACTATGAATGGATTTCCCATTTTAATGTGGGACTGAAAAGATCATGCTCTTTATCAATCAGTGTGACGTGTACTCCAGAGCATATACCCTACCTCTGCGACCTCCTAACCCCCTACCAACCCGCCCGTTCCCTCCGCTCAGCCGGCTCCGGCCTACTCCACGTCCCCCGACCCACCCGCCCCACCATTGGCGGGAGAGCCTTCAACCACTCTGCCCCCAACCTCTGGAATTCCATCCCCCAATCACTCCGCCTCGCCCCCTCCTTAGCCTCCTTCAAGTCCTTCCTCAAGATCCTCCTATCGACCACCCCCCTTCCTCCCCTCCCTCCGACCCCAGCTTGGGTCTGAAATGCTGTATTCTATCCAGCGCCTTGAGACGTCCTCCTGACGTGAAAGGCACTATACAAATGTAATCTTATTGTTGTTGTATAACATCATTCAGTCACTGGTACATGAATTTACTGATGAGAATGTGTTAGTCTAGAGTGGGTGCTATTCTATAAACGCTAAACAAAGATTCCGTACCTTTTTATTTTTGGTGTTTTCAGGCTCAGAAGGTATCAGAGTGCAGGGGTTCATGCGATCGAATCATAGAAGTTGACAAGAATTGGAATTGTTCAAGTGTTATATGGGGGAATTTTACTGCTGATTATCTGTGAGGTTACGAGTCTATTACTCTGATACCAACTTCACATGACACCAGTGGATACAATACAATATTCCCTTTTTAGCACCTTTCACATTGGGAGGACATCTCAAAGCAGTGAAAGATGAAAGGGAGGGAGCAAGTCAGAGGGACTTGGAAATGGAGTTCCAGAGAGCGGGCACTAAGTGGCTGAATACCAAGTTACCTCTGCCGAATCAACTGTCTTTTGTTTTAATTGATATGAATCAAACATCTGGGGCTGGAAGATGGCAGGGTGACTGTGTCAAGCATCTGAATTGCAATTGGTCAGTTCTGTGCCTTTCCCCCTCTCCAACTCCAAAAATAAAAGTCTTGCTCTTTTGGAGGAGCTTCCCATTGCCTCACCTCACCAGATTAAGACCAAACTCTGGGCTCAGTTTATCCCTCCTGCCTAGATTACCAGCAGGTAAACTGTTCAGTCCTGCTGCTGTTGGGAACTCTGGATGATATGGTAATGTAGAATCAAGGCTATTGTAGCAGATCTTCAGACTGTGGATACCCAACACTAAATTGGGTAGCGTTTAAGTGTGGGAGCTTGGGAATCCAAAAAAAAGCTACTACTAGCACCTTAATAGGACAAAGGCCAAAGATCACTGAAGAGACATCTCACTGTGCCACCTCACTGAGAAATGTAACCATGTCAGAAACAAGGTGAGCAGAAAGGCTGGAAGATCATGGAGAGAACTTGGTGCCCTGAACTTTTAACACTGAAACAACAGGGAGGAGGGGCCAGGTAACAAGTCAACTAACTGGCAAACCACTACTGAGATTTTTCAATATTTTCTGATCCGATGTGCAGATAAGGGGGTGTGCAGTTATCCTGCTCTCACCATTATTTCCATTGGTTATTAGGAAACTGCTAAATGCCGAGGGTAGTCTTATGCACCTGTGTATTATGTGGAGGGTGCTGGCCAGTCACAGCTGGATGTGTACCTTTATACAACAGGTCCACAGTACTCGGCACTTTATTAACAGGCGGCTGGTATTTTCTCATACCTGTTAACGATCCTCCTCCCCGTGTACGTAGCGTCCCTGTGTGAGAGGAAGAAAGGACGCCGCCAAAGACAGCCAGTGCTTGCCCACTTGTCCCGTGGAAGCTGTTATAATTAGGAATCCCCGAGATGCCAAAGCTGGGATAGTGCTGAGGAGAAGGTTCCGGTCCATACCGATAGCCTGTGCCTTGGGAAATGCATCCATCCCGATCATCCCCGGTTGCTTTTGTTGTCTCTTTATCCTTGCATTGCACACAGCCCATTATCTAAACACCTGCAAAAATAGAAAACAATTTAGTCCTAGTGACAATTGAAATGTGTTTCGTGTAATCTTCACTCACTGACTGTATTTTCCCATTAGTCAATCAGCAGTGGAATGTTGAGACGTGGAAAGGGAGGGAAATAAATAATAATAATTCTTGCAGTCGATATAGCACCTAATCATGTCTCAAAGTATTCACGCTCAGGAAAATATGCATTAAGCAATTTTCCACACACAAACATGATCTATTAATTGGAGGATAATTGGCAAGCCTAATAGAAAATTGCAGAAATATTTGCCAAAAATTGCAGGGAAATTTGACAAATTTAACAGAAAATTGAGGAGAGATTTGACAAATTTTGCAGAAAATTACGGGGAGTTGATTGATGCACAACATTGCTTCAAGTATTCCATTGCGTTACAGCCTTCCTTGCAGCTAGAATCATTCAGTAATTGCATATTACATAATCAATATATACACTGAGAATTAGATGATGAAATGCATGATAGGTGAGTGCACGCTCTGCTTGTCGGCCTTCCCAACTCCTCCCTCCACAGGCTGCAGATAATCCAGAATTCTGCAGCCCATGTCCTTTCCCGCACCAAACTCCATGACCCCATCTCCCCCACTCTCGCCCGATTCCACTGGCTCCCTGTCCTTCAGAGGATCCAGTTCAAGATGCTGGTCCTCACGTACAAAGCCGTCCAAGGCCTCGCCCCACCCTACCTCTGCGATCTCCTAACCCCTTACCAATCCGCCCGCTCCCTCTGCTCAGCCGGCTCCGGCCTGCTCCATGTCCCCCGACCCACCCCACCATTGGTGGGAGAGCCTTCAGCCACTCTGCCCCCAATCTCTGGAATTCCATCCCCCAGTCACTCCGCCTCGGCCCCTCCTTAGCCTCCTTGAAGTCCCGCCTCAAGACCCCCCTCTTCGACCATTTCATCGGCTTTTTGCTGAAAAACTGCAGACACACTTTTCTAATGTCCCAGATTATCGGTCAGGGCATGAGGAGAAACTTATCTTTTAAAATACTGCCATTGGATCCTTAACTTTTACCAAACAGGCAGACAGGACTGCAGTTTAACATCTCATCCGAATACCAACAGAGGAACCCACAATCTTCTGATCTAAAGGCAAAAAAAGTACTACCAACTGAGCCAGGCTGATACAAGTGTATTTGTTATCATTACCGTCACCATTCCCCAAACTGGACTGGATGCGTGTAAAGATTTTGTTTTGCATCTTGCTTTGGAGGTCTTTATTTTTCTCTGCTTCTGTTAGATCTCAATTAAACTGAAATTTCAGTCGTCATTACATGCAGTGCTTTTTAATGAAGCTGGCTACTAACAACATTGTCCCAGTTATTATTGGGAATTGCTGTGTGTAACCCTGACTGGAGTTTCATCTCAAATGTGCAGTGCACATTCCAAGCCACAGGCCAGACAGTTGACCTGATTTGTGGCGTTGCTGGTTGCACTCTCTAGCCAGCAGCTCATAGGCATGCTCCATTAACCACATCTCTAGGTTCTCCCCTTGCATATTTTGTGAACTGCTGAAGCAATTCAGATGCAACTTGCTGCCTCCCCTCAAACATAGGGCTGCTAGGAACAGCAGGCGTGGACCCACATCCTCCATCATGTGGTGGAATGTATCTGAACTCAAGGTTCCTCAAGCAAAACGGCCCATTTTCATTAGACTCGATGCATAAACCTGAATGTTGAAATGAGAAAGAATGTGTCTGTCATGAAGTGTATTCAATAAAAGGTGTCAGCCTGGCTCGAGGGTTAGCACTCTCACCTCTCAGTGCTGTGCTCAAAATGGCTGTAGTGTTTGCCTACAAAATATGTAGTCAATACATTCTACTGTAAATCTGAGGCACTTTGAAACATTTCGATAACATAAGATGCTTTAATCAAATGCAAGGATTATCATAAATGGAACAACTGCATAATATTGCGTTCCAGAGAGATACATTACTGATGCACCTTCAAGCCCTGATTGTTTCTTGGTACCAAAATCATTATTGTTTCACTGAGGATAATAAACACTAAAAAATACACTTCTTAACTCTCTAAAGCCCATATGTAAAAGTCCTCCAAATCTTAATATGAAGTTTGGACATCGCAGAGCACCACTCTACACTACAGTACCAAACACAGCAGTACATGCAGACAACAAATAGCCTAGTAGAAACAGATATTGTTCAATAATATTCATAAAAACAGCAAAACCTTATGATTCTTATTGCTGCATACAACAACTACTGTGGCTTATGATGTAGAGAAACCCTTCAATTATTATAGAGCCAACACACTCAACAACTACAACAACTTGCATTTATATAGTGCCCTTCACGCGGGGTAGCGTCCCTGAGCGCTTGACAGTGGTGGAGTCTGAAAACGAGCCAACGGGAGAGGGAGGTGGGAGGTGACCATAAGCACGATCAAAAAGGAAGGTCTTTAGGTGGGACTTGAAGGTGGGGAGGGAGGGGGTAAGGCGGAGGAATTGAGGGAGAGAGTTAGTTCCAGAGTTTTGGGGCGTAGCGACTGAAGGCACGGCCACCAATGGTGGAACGGAGGGCACGAGGGACAAAGAGGAGGCCGGAGCCAGCCGAGCGAGGCAGCGGGTGGTGGAGTGGGGGGTAAGCAGGTCAGATAGGTGGGTAGGTGCGAGGGCATGAAGGGATTTGAAAACAAGTGAGAGGATCTTATCTAGCGCTCAGCTTCAGCCAATAAAGACATTGCTACAGAACTTCATGAAAAACTATTACTACAAACCTCCTGTTTTGACAAAATGTTTGTTCTGGTCCCATTCTTAGGCTACACTCACTTGTGCAATGAAGATAAACGGTTCTTTGAACCCACCAGTGACACCGTTGGAGCATACAATAAATGCACATTCTTGCACTAAAAGCAGAGAGCGTTACCTCAGTTGTTCTCAAGCACTTCATTATCATATCGCAAGAGCATTGCTGTGAGGGCTGAGTCTCCGCCTGCATTGTGCACTCTCCCACTCACTGCAATGGCCACAAATCATTCCTGACCTGTCAAGGGGCATTCCTCGCCACACACACACACATACAAACAAAAATGTATTGTTTTAAAAGATCAGAGGTCATCAGCAATCACACCTCAGTGCTGCAAACATCACATTCACAGCCTTCCTGCAGAGTAGCTGCAGCACAGGGCGCATAAGCCTCTGTACTGCATCAGGATGAGATTCGATGATGAGCGGCTCAGGAAAACCATTCTAATCCTTCAATTATTAAAGCAATGTTTGTTCATCATGGGGGAGAAAAATCTCCCACTGGCATAGGAGGAGTCCACGAGCAGGCGCAGCAGGAGAGGAGCCAGCACTGAAACACTCCATTTTCTCAGCAATAATCTTTCTGCGCAGATTGGAATTAAAGAATGTCCGACAGGTAATTCTTCTCAAACTATCTTGATTGTGAAAGTATAGCTCAAATTTAAATGGCAGCTTACAAGAATAGAGCAGCAGCGATTTGCGCCCTGTAAAACTATCCAATTCTCTCTGTTCGTTTTGGTCAGCCGGTATCTGACATATATGGAAACCCATCACCATGCTTAAACGTATCCAAACCAGACAGAGTTTCACATGTGCATCATGCCACTTACACATGAAAATATCCCTGTATCTGGATCCAGTGAGTAGTGGGTTTCAGCTGAAGAAGCTGGAGAGCCAAGTCTGGCAGCTCCCAAAAGAATGGCTCAGGAATTGATTCCTGCAACTAGGGTTAGTGAATGCTTCCTTTTTGGAAAATTATAAAATCCTGTGAATAGAAAGAATCAGACTTGGATATGTAAATGATTATAAACTATTCTTTTTCTTAATTCCCCAAATACCTCAACTCACTCTCAAGGGTTTTGAGAAATCCTCCTGGCATGCACAGGGTGACCAAAAAGTTGTTTTTTTAAGACTTATTAGACAATGTATTGGTATCACGACTTTTTGGTTACCATGTATATTGTAAAAGATTGAGGAAATAATCTCGTCCCTGTGCAAATGCTCTTCCATTGGCTGATGGGAGGAGCAGGAGTGAACCCTAGAGTGACTGGCTAATTAAGAATTTATAAACTGCTGGACCAGGTAAAGGCAATTAGTCATTTCAAATACTATTTGTTTCTCATACACCATTCTCTAACCCCCTGCAACATCAGAAATGTATCATAATGTATAGTACGACAACAACTTGGATTTATATAACACCCTCCATGCCGGACGGCGGCTCAGAGCGCTTTACAGTAACGGATCCTGGGACAGAGCCAGGGGGAGGGGGAGGAAGGTGACCAAAGGCGCGGTCGAAAAGAAAGGTCTTCAGCAGAGACCTGAAAATGGGAATGGAGGGAGCGAGACGAAGGGAGTGAGGAAGGCAGTTCCAGAGCCTCGAGGCATAGTGGCTGAAGGCACGGCCGCCGAGGGTGGAGCGGAGGACTCGGGGGACAAGGAGGAGGCCAGACCCCGAGGAACGAAGGCAACGGGTACTCTTTTGAGGAGAGAGGAGGTCAGAGAGGTGGGGGGTGGGGGGGGTGCAGAGGAGTGAAAGAACTTGAATACGAGGGTCAGGATCTTGAAATCGATCCTCTCTGGGATAGGCAGCCAGTGCAGTCTGGCAAGGACTGGGGTGATCCTTGCATCTGATATAAAATGTAAACAACAGCATTATATTTGTATACTGCCTTTCATGTCAGGAGGACATCCTACAGCCCGAGCTGGGAGTCGGGATCAGGGAGGGTGGAGGGCAAGTGGGGGGAAGGAGGGCGACTGAAGGCACAGTCGAAGAGGAGGGTCTTGAGACAGATCTTCAAAGAGGCAAGGGAGGGGGTGAGATGGAGGGACTGAGGGATGGAATTCCAGAGGGTGGGGCAGCGTGACTGAAGGCCCGCCCGGGAATGGTAGGGCAGGCGAGGCAGGGGACGTGAACCAGGCTGGAAATTATAGTGACCATGCATTTGTAGACGAACGAGGCGACCCATTTGCACCCAGCAATGTC